ATCTGAGTGAGCGAGTCCAGATAATAATAATTCTGGCTTTCCTATGTGATCGTTGGTTGACTACCGGGTAGATGTCAGGCATGTGGGCCAGAATAGGGCCAGATCCTGGACAGCTTCTTACCATTTTGCCTCGTGTCTACATTCATGGGACAATTCTGGTGTGAATGTTGTGGACCAACAATGTAGTTAGGCCAGACTGGGGCCAAATTTGGGCCATATCGTTTAGTTCTACTCATTTTACAGTGTGTGGGCCAAATCTGGGCCGAGGACCCAGTCGTATATTGGGCCAGAACAAACCAAGGATGTGACCCACAAGTGGGCCAGACAAATTTTGTTAACTGGGAGTGCTCGGTGGAGAGTAGATGTCCGTTCACTGGTGTTTGTGTAAAACGTCAACAGTGGCGCTACAGACCCTGACGACCCGGCGCACCACCTTCCTGCTATGTGTGCGATAGCTTAGCTTTTCGCTAACTAGTTTATGGTTAGTGAGCTGTTTCAACATCTCCAGCTAGCATGGCTAATTTAGCTTTTTAGTTATAGTTATTTTCACCTTTCCATCTTTTATCACTCCGTAGACGTTGGCTGACGTTACTTTACTCTGATAGCTGTGAAGGAGTTTTTCCACAAATCACTTATATCCATAATTCAGCTTGGACGCCCCCATTGTTGTGTGTTTTGTTCTCCAACGGTTCTAGACACATCCTCGCATTTCAGTCTTGGCAGCTATGACAAAGATAAAGTGACGCATCTTTCTGTGCTGAGCCGAAGTGATACGAACGCCAGTATTTATGAGGTTAGTAACTGTCCGTAAGGCACTAAAACTTGTTTTACCCAGCGTTTACACACTTCCGCTTCCTGTGAAAAGGGTCTATGAGACCAGTTCACTGCACTAGCATTAGCTTAGCCAGATTTCAGTTAGCTATTAGGAGTGGAAGCAGGACTCTGTGCTGAAACTGCTACAAACAAGGTCAAATATATCCTCATATCGGTTACAAGCTTGAGATAAAACATATGGAAGTCTTTTACAAGCTTTAAATGTCCATGTTGAATCTAGAACGACCAAAACATGTTAATGGGAATTGCTGTTAGCTTAGCGTTACCACTCTGCTAGGGGCTCTAGCTCTGTGCACTACTGTAGTGCTGTTTACAGTAATCTATAATACGTATATTCTGTGGTAAAATATAGTGATTTCAGTGGTGAACCATGACTGGTAGAGTTGAGCTTCGTTTCAGGCCATAAATCCTAAAGCTAGGTCAAAAAAACGAGGAAAAAACAAGATACTACAACAATACTAATTTCCGCTAGCGCCCCAATGGGATTTCCTATATAATATTATTAATGCTACAGCTCTAATAGTCACAGGTCGTCACCAGAATAACTATAGTTCAGTGCAGGATACGACACACGTGTTATATATTACTATAAAACAGCACAGCATCATTAATACAGAGGAGAAAATACTAAACTTTATTACAGAAGTTCATGCAGCACTACAGACATTCCTGCAGCGTCACTGTAGCTCAGTTTTTGCGAAGAGCTTCTGCGAGTTGATATTTACTGGCTTTTTCTTGATCTGTGTTCTCATTTCCTGAATGAACTTCCTCAGTAATCAGTGTAATCCAGATAGCCCTGCATAACGACCAGGGGGAAAACAAAAACCAACAAAAAAAAAACAATAATCAACCAAAACAGGAACCGTATTAATCTCTCAGTGAGGGCCGAGCTCAGCCACCTTCCTGTTTAACGTTCCTGCCACTCAAGTGTTTATGACAGTGATGGCTCGGCCTCGCCGGCCAGACCTTCACCCAGAAAGGGCCAGTGTTGAAACGGCGCTGTACGTACGAACATTTTGGGGGTCCTAAATGACATGCTACTTTGGGGTCTCTCTCCTGCCTTGGTGAAGTGATTTTGTATGCAAGAATGAAAAAGAATGAAAACGTCTTTCATTTTGATCACAAAAAAGAAAGTGTCATTAATTCTGTGAGTTGAAATGAAACTCAGTGAAACAATATTTGCCTGCATACAGGTGAAATAGAGGCTTTAAAGCAGTAAATATATTTTGGATATGCAAAAAAAACAGAAAAAAACAAAAAAACAAAACAATAAATGTCGCTGCTGTCGGAACAAAACTTCGTATCTCGAAAATGGTGACTTTACAGGGGAAGCAAAAAACATACTTCATTTTTAATGTAAGTCAATGGAACCAGAATTCTTTCCAGGTGATTTTGAGCTGTTTCTTTTGGTCCATTCATTGTGAAATTTACGCACAATGTAAAGGTCAACAGGTATTTTCAAATTATGTCAAAAACTGAAAAACGACAAAAATGGAGATATGAGGTTTTGTTCTGACAGCAGCGAAATGCTTCAAATTTCAGCGCCTCTAACTCAGAACACCTTCCTGCATCTCGGCCACCAAAATACGATCAGTTTCCATATCCTACAGTTTTCTTGTATTTTTGTTTTCTCTCTTTTTATGTCTTAGAAATAAACAGGCTATGTTTGTTACTGTGCCTTTAAGACTGATATATGCCTCTGTTCTGATTGGCTGTTCTGTATTGTTCCTCATTTAAAAGCAGTCTGGACTGAAACATCCTTATAACATCAGTGTGAGTGGGCGGGGCTAAACGGTAGGCTGAACAGGTGGATGGTTAGTGAATAAAAAACAGGTTATTTATGCAGTTTAGTTGTCATATATGGACTGTATGGACTGGGAGTGAATGGTATTGAGTTTAACAGCATCAACATAATCATCAAAACCTCTTTTATTGTATATATATATCATTAATTCATATATATCCAATAAAAAATAACTATATTATTAATTATATTTTATATATATGTAATTAACTCTCAGGTTATCTTCAAATTAACTAACATATTTATCCTTGGGTTAAATTTAAACGCCAGAAAAAAAGATTATATTAAAACTGTTACCCATGGTTATGCGTCAGGTACTTTGTTTCTTCGCAAATAAATAAATAAATAAATGTCAATCATTTATTTAATGGCGTTAAACATGGCGTTTTATCTTATATGTAAATTAATTATATAAATATCTTTGTTTATTTTTTTTTTTTTAAATCTATTGAACTGTAGTTGCAGGACCCCTTGTTGCTCGGGGGGCACCAGCGTCTGCTGAGACAGCTCATAAGCTGCAAAGACATTTTTCAAGCGAATTAAGGTCCCCACAACCACAAAACCTGGAGGACTTGATCCCCACAGAGGCCTAAAAACGCTCTCTGTAAAAATAAATCCGCTGCGTTGTGTCGCCCTCTAGTGGAAACAGCGCATTATAATGCTGCACTCGGAGCAGATGAACCACAGAACAGCGCATTATTATTATCTCCATTATTATCTGTCTTCTGTCTGATTAAAGCGGATCAAAGCGGACTGTGACTCACGAGCCGCCCTTAAGCTTTAAAAGTCACCGGAAGCCACGCTGGCAGAGTTCATCCTGTGATGACCTTCAGAGGAACGAGCGAAAACACGAATCAGCCACAGACTGTGAGGTAAACCGAGAGGCTGCCATGCCAGAGCCGGTTTATGAGGAGCCTGGCCGCTTCCTATTCAAAAACAGGACTGCTGAACAGCAGGGGGCGCCCGCGAGGGAGTCCTCAATGAATGTGAGTGAATGGCGCTCAACAGCTAAAAACGAACAGTTAAAATAGTTTCTAATCACTGAACCAGAACTTTCCTTTAATTCTAGAAAGTAGAAGGATGGATTTTACTAAAAAAACAAAGAAATCTCACCTGTATGTTTCCTTTTTTCTACAGAAAACGGGTTTTGGGCAGCAGAAGGCGGGCTTTACTGCTAGAGCGTGATGATTAATTGGCGAGCGGAGCAGCTCATTGGCTGTTCGCGCTCACTGACGTCATGGACGTACATGGGGCGCTGTTTTAAACTCCTATAACTCGAGTTTAAAAGCTCTTAAAAATATAACAGCAGTTTTAAAATGTTTTATGCTGTTCTGTGTTCAGGAAATGATTGTATTCTTTTACATTAAAAATGTTTCAGCATTTATAAACTATGATTTTGCTCAAATGCTCCATATCAACCCATTCATTCTGCACTCGCTCGGGAGCGCCTTCTAGCGTTTGAGAAACCAGGAAGAGACTGCAGAGTGGTACGTCTCCTCTCTACAGGTTCTCTGGCCACGCCTGGTCAAGTGAATGAGGCGAAAAGGGGGTTCAGTTCCAGCTTCGCCCCGCCCCCCTCTCCGTCTCCCGGGGCAACAGCAGCGTCCTGTGCTGAAAGGCTGAAGGCCTGTCTGAACAAACATGAAAACTGATTTTTTCTGAAAGTCAATTCAGGCTCTCGGCGTCATTTATTATCTCAGGTTCAGCACCGTTTCCTCTCTGAGTGGAGAGAAGAAAACTAAAGCTCAGCTTTCTGTTCCAAAACATGATATGAATCGCGGATCAGAGAGAGATACAATTAAATATGATTTTTGAAATGTAAATTAAATATAATATATACTAAATAATAAATAATAATAATAGCAATAATAATAACAATAATAATAATAATTATAATAATTTACTGTCATTGTAATAGTTTCTGAACACAGTTTAACGCTCGTTTTGTTGAGGACTCTTATTTTGACAGGTCCGTTAAAATAATGACTCCTGTCATTCATACTGTACTACTACTACTACTACTTACTACTACTACTGCTACTACTACTACTACTACTACTAATAATAATAATAATAATAATAATAATAATAATTTCATTTAAACTCTTATTTTAAGAGGCTATTAGACTCTTATTTTGACAGGTCCGTTAAAATAATGACTCCTGTCATTTATACTGTAATGATAATAATAATAATAATAATTATTATTATTATTATTATTATTATTATTATTAAATAATAATAATTATTATTAAATAATAATAATAATATTTTCACTCATTGTAATATTTTATGAACCCAGTTTGACGCTCGTCTTGTTGAGGACTCTTATTTTGACAGGTCCGTTAAAATACCGACTCCGGTCAGTTACACTGTGGGGTCCTTCACGGTCAGAGAGCCATTTCTCCGTTCAGACACAGCTGATCGCGGCTCCGCGGCTCGGCTTTAAAGTACGCCTCGAAACCCTTCGGTTCAGCCGAAACCGGGTCAGCAACCCCGACCTTCTCTTCCGCGGAGAGGAACCGCCGGTCTGAGCAGCAGCGGGGAGTCTGACGTCAACAGCCATGAACCCCGAATAGTGAGTACCAGAGCCGTGAAGTCACCAGAACCGGATCTAGACGAGCTTCATTCGGCACACAGCCGGACAGAGAACCCGGAGAGCTTTAGCTCTCTGATTAGACACATTACAGCCGGACAGAGAACCCGGAGAGCTTTAGCTGTCTGATTAGACACATTACAGCCGGACAGAGAACCCGGAGAGCTTTAGCTCTCTGATTAGACACATTACAGCCGGACAGAGAACCCGGAGAGCTTTAGCTCTCTGATTAGACACATTACAGCCGGACAGAGAACCCGGAGAGCTTTAGCTGTCTGATTAGACACATTACAGTCGGACAGAGAACCCGGAGAGCTTTAGCTCTCTGATTAGACACATTACAGCCGGACAGAGAACCCGGAGAGCTTTAGCTGTCTGATTAGACACATTACAGCCGGACAGAGAACCCGGAGAGCTTTAGCTCTCTAATTAGACATATTACAGCTGATCAGAGAACCCGGACAGCTTTAGCTCTGATTAGACACATTACAGCTGATCAGAGAACCCGGAGAGCTTTAGCTCTGATTAGACACATTACAGCCGGACAGAGAACCCGGAGAGCTTTAGCTGTCTGATTAGACACATTACAGTCGGACAGAGAACCCGGAGAGCTTTAGCTCTCTGATTAGACACATTACAGCTGATCAGAGAACCCGGAGAGCTTTAGCTGTCTGATTAGACACATTACAGTCGGACAGAGAACCCGGAGAGCTTTAGCTCTCTGATTAGACACATTACAGCCGGACAGAGAACCCGGAGAGCTTTAGCTCTCTGATTAGACACATTACAGCTGATCAGAGAACCCGGACAGCTTTAGCTCTGATTAGACACATTACAGCTGATCAGAGAACCCGGAGAGCTTTAGCTGTCTGATTAGACACATTACAGTCGGACAGAGAACCCGGAGAGCTTTAGCTCTCTGATTAGACACATTACAGCTGATCAGAGAACCCGGAGAGCTTTAGCTCTCTGATTAGACACATTACAGCCGGACAGAGAACCCGGAGAGCTTTAGCTCTCTAATTAGACATATTACAGCTGATCAGAGAACCCGGACAGCTTTAGCTCTGATTAGACACATTACAGCTGATCAGAGAACCCGGAGAGCTTTAGCTCTGATTAGACACATTACAGCCGGACAGAGAACCCGGAGAGCTTTAGCTGTCTGATTAGACACATTACAGTCGGACAGAGAACCCGGAGAGCTTTAGCTCTCTGATTAGACACATTACAGCTGATCAGAGAACCCGGAGAGCTTTAGCTGTCTGATTAGACACATTACAGTCGGACAGAGAACCCGGAGAGCTTTAGCTCTCTGATTAGACACATTACAGCCGGACAGAGAACCCGGAGAGCTTTAGCTCTCTGATTAGACACATTACAGCTGATCAGAGAACCCGGAGAGCTTTAGCTCTGATTAGACACATTACAGCTGATCAGAGAACCCGGAGAGCTTTAGCTGTCTGATTAGACACATTACAGTCGGACAGAGAACCCGGAGAGCTTTAGCTCTCTGATTAGACACATTACAGCTGATCAGAGAACCCGGAGAGCTTTAGCTCTCTGATTAGACACATTACAGCCGGACAGAGTCAAAACGCTGACTAACTACACCCTTAAAAAGAGGGTTCTTCAGGGGTTCTTCAGTAAAGGCAAAGGTCCTTAGAACCACAAGTTCTATATAGAACCATTTCATGCTTAAATGGTTCTTCAGATTGATTGGGAATGTGTTGTATATGATTCTGTATAGAACCTTTTCGAAAGTGGTTCTATTTAGCACCAACAAAGGGTTCTTCTATTGTTACAAGATTGGCATCCTAACAATAGAAGAACCCTTTCTGGTGCTATAATATACACTTTTATGGTTCTTCTGGGGTTCTTTAATAAAGGGAATCATTCTGTTTAGAACCTTGGGTTCTATATAGAACCATTTCATGCTTAAATTGTTCTTCAGATTGATTGAGAATGTGTTGGGTATGGTTCTACACAGAACCTGTTTGAAAATGGTTCTATATAGCACCTAAAGTGTTCTTCTATTGTTAGGATGTCAAGCTTGTTTCAATAGAAGAACCCCATTTGGTGTGTGTAGAACCATTTTCAGAAATGTTCTGTATAGATCCATATACAGTGCATTCTCCATCAATATGAAGAATGGCCAGAACCATTAAAGCAGGAAATGGTTCTACATAGAACTCATGGTTCTAAATAGAACCCTTGCCTTTACTAAACTTACTTTACTCTTGAAGAACCATCTTTTTAAGAGTGTACATTATAGCACCAAAAAGGGTTCTGCTGCCATTGTTAAAACGTCAAGCTTGTAACCATAGAAGAACCCTTTTTTGGTGCTAAATAGAACCATTTTCAAAAAGGTTCTATATAGAACCATATACAACACATTCTCCATCAATCTGAAGAACAATTTCACCATGCGGAGAACCATTTAAGCATGAAATGGTTCTGTACAGAACTTATCGTTTCATGTAGAACCATCGCCTTTCCTAAAGAACCCTTGAAGAACAATGTTCAGTGTGTAGGAAACTAACTTAGCCTTAGCTAGAAATGCTGAGGGCAGCTTTGCTCTGTCCTCACAGTTTTCCCACTTCCAGTCTCGTAGCCCACCTGTTCTGCTCAGAGGGGTGTTCTAGCTGATGGTCAGGTCTTTATGGAGCTGAATCAGGCGTGTAGGAGTAGAAGAACCCAACACTGCCCAGTGCAGGTCCAGACTGCAGGTGGGGAACACCTGTGTAGGTGTTCTAACGCTGGTATTTTGACCTGTAGGGCTTCTTCAGAGGGGCTGATAAAACGTTATCCTCACAGGTTAATAAGTGTTTAGGTTGGTCTTTTATGCTCACCACTGTAGAACTAAGGCTGTTAAGGCTGTTAAAGGGCAATTCCACCAATTTGTTCAGAATTTTTGGATAATTCACAAAAATCAGTGGTTAAGAGTTATTCAGAGTGGTTTGATGTGAGATGGTTCACTGTAGAGAAACCTACAGACTCAGATTTCAGTGCATTCATAACCATTTGATATAATAACTTTCTTTGAGGGAGCTTTTAGAGGCATTAAGCTCTTCAGTTGTCTGGTTCCCATCACCACCACTGTGAACAGTTCTGATATGGCAAGTTTCTCTAGAATGGAGCATTTCACAGGAACCGCTCTGAACGACTTTGTTTACGTTTTAACCATTTAATTTTGTAGAATTTTTGAAAAATTGGTGGAGTTCCCCTTTAAAACTAAGGTGTGTGGATCTGAGAGCTGTGTTGCAAGGCAGCTGCGTGTCCAGCCTTCCGTCATCCATTAGTCACATCGTTAGCTAATAATCCGGTCCTTCTGGAGATGAATCGGGTGCGTTGGAGCAGGAAAAACACGACACTGTACGATTTAGTGTTCAAACTCACTGATGAAGTTCACCCAAACTAGGTAACGAGCAATGAAGGGGGTGAAAGTGACCATGTAAGAGCACTGAAACCTGTTTTTGTCACCTGCACTGCACATTTTAATGTTTCACTTCTAATAAAGTGACGTCCTCCCGGAGCTGAAGAGCTTCTAGAGTTAGACAGATGGATGGAGAAGGAGCAGGGGTTACCTAGGCAACCGCAAAAGTGACGGGTTGCTAGGTTACGTTCCTGATGTAAATACAGCAGCCGTCAGCTATCATCACCTCTATGCATAATAAGCTTACATGCTGAAAAATAAAGGACTTAAGCACCAGTAACACTCGTTTTGAAGTGTGTGTTGATGCGGCTGCTACTGAGTAGCACGTTTAACGCCTTAAGTGTCAAAAATATCGACAGTTGTACGTAAAAGGTCAGTTTTTGTCTAAAATGGAGACCCTACAGTGCAGCTCCTGTCACCTTAAAGGGGAGTTCCACAGATTTGTCCAAACTTTCTGCGTAAATCCGTCACGTAGATGTAAACAGAGTCATTCAGAGTGGTTTGGTGTGAAATGGTTCACTGTAGAGAAACTTATAGGCTCAGATTCCTCTACAGTGGTGGTGATAGGAACCAGGGGTCACAGTGAACCTACACGAGTCTTCTGAGTGTTTATATGTAATGTTGATGATGGTAAAATAGTGGTTAATCTGACAAAATAAGTTTTCTTTGGGGATTATTCTGCCTTAAAACTTACTGCGTGCATCTCTTCACCATGAACAGGTTAAAAAATGACGTATAAGGCAAGAATCTTATCCCAAAACTATCATAAATGGTTCACTGTTGAGAAACTTATAGACTCAGATGTCTTTACAGTGGTGGTGATAGGAACCAGGGGGTCACAATGACTACAACACAAATACAGCCATTTTATTTACAATACAAAACCACCAGATAGCCAACTCGTGTCTTCTGAGTGTTTATCTGTAATGCTGATGATGGTAAAATGGTGGTTAATCTGACTGTTTAATCAGACTGTTCTACCTTAAATCTCCCTGTGTGTATCTTTCCACCCTAAACGGATCAAAAAATGACGTCTAAGGCCAAAATCATACCCCAAAACTATCGTAAAACAAAGTCTCAGACATCAGGCAGTGAATTCATAACCATTTCATGTAATAACTTTCTGTGAGGGAGCTTTTAGAGACATTAAACTCTTCAGACGTCTGGTTCCCATCACCACCACTGTGAACAATTCTGACTCTCTAAGTTTCTCTAGAACAGAGCATTTCACACCAAACCCCTCTGAATGACTGTTTATTACTAAGCCATAACTGAACTGTACAGAAATATTGAAAAAATGGTTGAATTCCCTTTAACCAAGGTTAACCATGGTCCCACCAGAGAGAGCTGGATGGGTTCCTTTTACCGGAGAACATGGGCTTCGGTTTTTGGAAAAGAGAAGTGAGATGTTCACACCATGATATGTTGGAACATCTCAGTCATTTCATGATTCTCACCAAATATCTGAATAATAATGATAAGAATGAGAATAAACCTATAAAAGCTATACTTTTGGAGCAGCTGTGTTCTGGAAACAGATGTTTTAGCGTTCACAAAGCTCATAAAAACGTCTTAAGGTCTTAAAACAGCAGTTTAACTGATCTAGATACATTTCAGTGTTTGTTTAAGTTGACTTGAGGTGGCAGCTGTTAGCAAACCGGCTAGCGCTAGCTTGCTAACTAGCTAAATAACTTCTCGCCTCCTTAACAACGTTTTTCTGCTTAATATTGGGCGTGAAAACAGGGTGAAATAAAATGTATTTTAAGTTTCTCTCGCTTGAACGGGGTCCAAACCGAGCTTTAATGGTCAGTTTTTGCCGGACTTTGGCTTGAAAATGTGCCACGTCGTTAGCCTGCTAGGTTAGCTTAGCCGGCTTGGCTCAGATGCCGGCTACAGTAAACAGACGACACTGGTCAGCTTCTTAGCGGAATTTTCCCGTTCCACCTTAAATGTTGCACCATTTAAGGTGGAACGGGTCAATTATAACAAGAAGCGGGTGAATTGGAAGCTAGATTTAGCCTCGTGTTAAACAGGACATCTGAGCACAAGTGTCCAACTTAGACACGAATAAAATAAACAGTGTTTAAAATGTGTTAAGTCACTGAGGGCTGTTAGCAAAACAGTAAGTGGCTTAATATGAGGTCATCTTCAGCTTAATGTCTGTTTTGCTGTGCTTTTACTCCATTTCTCTACAAAAAATAGTCATATCAGTGTTGTTGACCACAGTCTTAGTAAATAAGACTCTGTTTTCTGGGAATCTTTGAGCTGCTTGTGTTTCTAAAATGATTTTTAAAGCTAAAGAGCCCAAACTAAGGTGTTTTGTTTACTTATTTTTTCATTTGTCAACGTTTTATACCCCCATTCTTTGTTTTATTTTCAGTCTTACTATAATATTTTGAGTCACATCTGGGTCACATGATTTCTAGTAACATCCCTCTTGTCAGTATTAAACAGTGGTCTGTGATGTGAGTGAGGGGGGATGTGGCTGTGCTGGCTGTAGGACTGTGTTTATGTTAGGATGGCAAGTTCAGATCGGAAGCTTATCTTTGCCGTCCATCTCTCTTATCAACACTGACTGATCACCCACACTTTCATTCTCAGTCAGTTGTGGCAGCAGCTGGTCATGATGCCGGTAGTCAGTCTTTAAGTGGTCTTAGCTGGATGTAGCTTTTTTGCAGCAATTTGAAATGAAAATGAATCAGCAGAAACAGGTGCCCACTTGATCATTCGCTTACTGTTTTCTTCAACAATATTACTAATTATATCTTCAGTAGTGAACCTGAGCTTTAGGAAGGCACTATTTAAATAGAATGTATTATTATTAGTAGTAGTATTATTAGTATTATTATTATTACTATTATTATTATTATTAGAGATGTCACCGACCTGACATCAGCAGAAAATGCTGGATTACACATATAGAAGAAGTAAAAATGAATGTTTGAGTAGTTTCAGTAGGAATGTCTACTTTTAGGTGTTCATCTTAAGTGAAGGTAACTTTAGAGCTTATCGGTATCAGAAAAAAAGTGATATTGTGCCATCTTTATTAATAATAATTATAATAATACAATTAATTATTATTATTATTATTATTATTTATCAATACCGCTATACTTTGTAGCCAAAATGTAGGGCTCACTTGGCCCATAATCAGAATCCAAAACTGGAAAAAAGCTGAAAATAAATAAATATCAGAAATCAACAACAGAGAACAGCGACTCTTCCAAAGCAGTGAATCCCATTGGATTCCAATTCCAAAAGGTTTTATTTTTTGTTGTGTTGTTTTTTTTTGTTTGTTTGTTTTTTTAAAACTATTTTTGGACAGATTTTCAATGGCTGAAATTTTGATGCATCCCATATATTTGATTTTGTGCTGCTTTTTCCAGCTCAGGTGTTTAGTATAAGGATTATAAGCGTCTTCCTCTCGATATACTTCGGTTTCTTTTATATTGCTATATTTCTGTTATTTTTTTTTATATGTTATGGTTATTGTGTTTTGTATATGTGGTTAAATTTGAAGCCTACAAACTGCCAAAGTGAGAGTCCCATACTTACAGTAATGTTCAGTGTGTTCAAGACTAAGTAGTGTAAAATCAGTAAAAATCTGACATTCTAAATATTCAGTACTTTATTTTATTACCTCCTCTATTCTACTCTTTTATTTACTCACTGTGTTACTGGATCGTGACGTATTGCCAAGACAAATTCCTGTAGAGGTCCAGAGCCGGACCTCATTCTTATCACATGTGATTTATGTGGTTTGCTGTGTGTTTCTCTCTGTTTCAGTGACTACCTGTTCAAACTGCTGCTGATTGGAGACTCTGGGGTTGGGAAGTCCTGCCTTCTCCTCCGTTTTGCAGTGAGTGGCCACACGGCTTTGGCTTTATAGAGGGTTTTTTGTGATTATCAAGGCTGGTGGTTTTGCTGACTTGTGCAAGTTCATGAACTGCTTATCACTCTGTCCGCACCCACAGTGAGATAGTGGCTGTTCTGTCACAGATGTTCAGCCTAGCTGGCCGTCAAAGAGACCCTGTTCAGCCATCCTGCACGGTTTTATAGAGGCTCATCATCCCCTCATTTTCCCTCTCTCCCTCTCTCTGTTTTTTATCTCCTTCCTCAGGACGACACATACACCGAGAGCTACATCAGCACAATCGGCGTCGACTTCAAAATCAGAACAATAGAGCTGGATGGCAAGACCATCAAACTACAGATTGTAAGTGTGTTATTCTCCTTTGCCTGCTGGTGCACGATGATGTAATCAGAAATCAGCAGATGTTTTAGAGGTGGGGCAAAAGTCAATACATTTTGATGAAGGATTATGAGAAAACAAGAGTTATAATCTTTTAAATGCATTACATGGCCAGGGAGCTGAAGATTTCACGTGGACTTTAATGTTTTCTGCTTGGATTGGGGAATGAAGCAGAGGGCAGTGAGAACAAAGCCTTAAAACGTTTCCAAAAGCCACAGTCTGAAGCCCGTGTGTCAAAATCACGGCCCGTGGGCCAAGTCAGGGCCGCGGCACAGTCCTATTCGGCCTGCAAAATCATTTAAATTTTCTATTAATATTAGCCCATTTCACCATGAGCTGCACTATGGTTCCCAGCAGGCACGGCAACCCAATATGTGCTCCCACTCCCTCCCCAGCAATGATCTATGGGACAGCACCACAAAAACAAACCAAAAAAAAAAGATGCCACGTGTTTAGTTCGAGTGAATGGGCAGTTTTAAAAAGCCTACTGTACATCAGGGACATTTAAAGAGGTTTAACAGTGATCTGCAGCTAATGTAGTCCATTTTTTAATGTAAAACAATTAGTTTTCATTTAATTTTTTTTTTATGATTCATTTTTTATTATTTTCAATTTAAAGAACCACCCCCCCATTCCAGCCCCGACCCACACACACATGGGACTTACAAGAGAGAAAAAAAACATCGCTACAACATAGAACACTTGAGAATTACATCATTCACAACTTAAACACAGCATATAGTTAAGCAAGCACGAGGGTCCAGACTTTAGAAAAACCGTGAATCCAGGGCCAGCATTACTAATTGATGCTCCATCTATCTATTTGTCCCTCTACGACTCTTTATTGGCCCACGGATTTGTTGAGATTTTTTAAAATGGCCCTTTTAGTGGTTGAGTTTGACACCCCTGGTCTAATAAGTGGGCAGAGCCTTTAATGAAAACCTTACATTATGATCTCCAGCTCCTGTGCGAAAGGTTTAGGCACCTAGGCACATTGTGTAAAACCATTTTCTGGGCAGTAAGTGTGTTTGAGCTTGTATAAAGACACCTTTTAATATCAGAATAAATATAAACAAACATTAATGCAGTAAAGGGTTACAGACGTTGCTTGTTTTCATAAATCATAGTATAGAAGTTTGCTTCCAGATTTCTCCTGTATGGCCTCAGACTTCACATAGATTTGTTAAATTCAACAAGCAGGGGTGAGGGATCGAGCGAACTGCAGTGTCGACTTCAGCAGCGGAATCCAGAACTCATCGCGACCTGGTGCAATTCGCTTGTGAAACCTGAAAATTATGGTGGACAAAGCTGTTTATAAGCTGCAGCAATAAATGACTTTAAAAAGCTTCACATTTTCCTTAAAATTCAATTTACTGGGCTTTCAGTTATAAACTACTCCCATCTGTTCTACACAACTGCTGATACAACTTGGTCACTTGCTAAAGGCTACATGGCTGACAAGAACAAAAGGAAAGGCATTACAGCACAGCTCTGCACCAAGTTTATAGCCAGACACAGCATTTACTCACACACGTTACGCACGTTGTGCTCAAACTTCTTAGAAAACGCTTTGCATTGCAAAGTTTGCACGGCTATCTGATTAGCTCACTAAGGCTAACCTGCCGAGGGAGAGTGCGTCCATTTGAATAATCTGCTCCTCACTGTCGCCTCCTCCACTTCTGCTGTGAGTGGACACTAGTGTAACGTAGGTGTGACACACATCTCATTGGTGAGTTGAAGTGGGTGAGGGCAAGTTTAAAAAAAAAAGGATTAAACCAGGGCCCTTGATTCCAAACTCCGTTTAAATGAGGCTTAAACTTGTCATAAGTTCTGAATCTTCTCGAAAACGTGTAACTGTGAGGTCACAGATCAGAGATATACATACCTAGATGCCACGTTGTCTGTTGTTCTCTATCTGAGGCAATGCGTTTGCGCGTCCACCATGTTGGAAAGGTCAAGATCCGCTTGTGAACAGATTCACTTGTATTGAGAGGTGATGAGTCTCAGGATTAAATCAGCCAAACTTCCTTATTTCTCAACCGATTTTCACCAAATCTGTTCTGTTATAATCCTCAGACACAGATTAATCCAGGCTGCACGGACTGCTCTCAGTAGCTTTTATTTCTTTAATAACCGTTCGTGATAATTAGCCGTCCGGGCCAGCAGGAAAGTATTCAGTCTGCACCTGACGTTAAAAACCGAGATTAGCGTGAGAAACACAATCAGACACATCAGCAAATCCATCAATGTGTGAATCACTTCTAATCTTAATACATATAAAAATAAAATAAACCCCCAAAACTCAGTAAGTAGGACGAAGCTGAAGTTGGCTTCCTATTCACCAGCTTCTTTTTCCCGTTTTCCCATTCCACCTTAAATGGTGCAGCAGTCACTTTCTTGTGCCTGAAGCTTCACCATTTAAGGTGGAACGGAAAATTAGAATAAGAAGCTGACTTCAGCTTTGTGTAAGAAGGTGCTAAAGTTCATCTATTATGGATATGTACACAGATTAAGGAATGAGATTAATGAATATAATCCTATCCCACTTTCTGAGTGCAATATTCTTGAAATACTGTCCAAAATTGCACTATCTTTCTTGAACTGCTGCTCTGTAATGGTACTGAATGCAGTCCAGCGGTGATGTTAACCGCCCCAAAATAGTGGCGCTGTTGACGAGCCTGGCTGGACCCAACGCTGCATCTAGGTCTGTATATCTATGTCAGAGATGTACAGCCCTGCTGATTTGCTGTTTGTTGTTGGTTCTCAGTGGGACACTGCAGGTCAGGAGAGATTCCGCACCATCACATCCAGTTACTACAGAGGAGCCCACGGAATCATCGTCGTCTATGATGTCACAGACCAGGTGGGCCAACTGTTCCGTTACCATGACGGTGCCGCTCTGTTGTCAGCGGTTGCATTCTGTTCGGTTACTAATGGTTACAGCTTTGGTCTGTGGGCCCATTCATGCATCCTCTTCTTTCCCAGGGGAATCTTGGGTTTCAATCCTATCAATTTCTAATGAAGAGAAAGCCCAGGTGTTTCTCTGGAGCAGGTCCTTTCAGCTGAAGCCTAAACACCATCAGTCTGAGCAGAGTGAAGCAGTTCTTATGGACAAAATGATTTTTCTGGCTTCTTCCACTTTATATAGTTCAATCATTTGGATGTAAACGAAGTCATTCAGAGTGGTTTGGTGTGACATGGTTCATTATAGAGAAACTTACTGACTCAGATGTCTTTACAGTGGTGGTGATGGGAACCAGGGGTCACAAAGTCTAAAACACGAATATAAACATTTTATTTACTGTCTAAAACCACCAGTGAACCTACACGAGTTTCTGAGTTTTATATGTGCTGTTGATGATGGTAAAATAGTGATAAATCTGAGGGATGATTTTTTATGTACCGCTCTGCTGCAAGTTTTCTGATGTGGTCATTGGTATTTCCTTTTTTCACTAAATTATTCAGAGCTTAGTATTTTGGGTCTCTTTTCAATTTAACTGTCAAATCATATTTTGCATAAAGTTAGTTTTCAGTGATAAACATACGTCGTTAAGGCAGGACCCACCTTTTGTCCTTGTTCTCAACATGTAATGCAGAGTATCCTAATTTGAGCAGGAGGTTGGCATGTTGAAACAGTGTGTTTACATGCACTTAATATCTGATAACTGCAGAAAATCTGATTTTGTCAGTAATCCGATCAGTGCGTTTACATGCACTTGAGTAATCAGATAATGTGAAACTCCAGGTCTACATGAGTCAGGCAGTAATCAGATTTCTGCTTTGCAACCAGCCAATAAACTCACAGAAGAAGACGTGACGTAAACATATTGTAAAATTCAAACTTCATGCTGCGGCTTTTTTTAAACATCGACGCACTTAACCTGAAAATATGAACATACATCATCTAGAAGATGAAGAATATTTAACTCCTTCATTTCGTCAAGCGTGTATTTGGTTTCAGCGTCGCTCCAAAAGTGTTTTGCTGCGTCTCACAGCAACACTGCTCACTTATTTCCGGTACCGTGGTCTGTTTTCGCACATGCTCAGACTGAGGAATCCGAAAGAAATCAGAGTAAGAGTTCACATGCACTGAGAAATCTGATTACTGAGCCAAAATCCAGCTCTCTTTATCAGATTTCTTATTCGGATTTCTAGATCGGAGTATGGTGTTTACATGACCATTTGAATAATCAGATAACTGCAGAAATCCGATTATGATCACATTATTAAGTGCATGTATTCCCACTCACTGATTAGTTCACAGGAGTTTGGAATTGCACCGTATGAGCCGTCATATTCCAGTGTTTATTTCTGTTGTCTAGAAAAGCAATAGTTCAGCGATGTACATAATTTCCTTTTACCCAAATGTCTGTCAGCCTAGACATGTTTGGCGCCTATGAAAATAACTGAACACAGTAAAATCAGCTATATTTTATCTGTGCTAATAGTGTGTCATACAGTGTCTGACACCACGTAATCATATCTTTTGGAGACTACTTAGTAACTCAAACTACTTAGCACAGTTTGAGGCAGATGAGTGATTATTTAGGTGCGCAGTTAGCACAGTGCTAATTGGTGAAGTATAGGCTCCTATTATTAATTAGAGATTAGCCTGGTAGTGCCAGTGTGAAACTAAAGCAAAATTCAGACACCACACGTCTGTTTGGCTGATTGACCACATTTGGGGTCAGAGGGGATATTAAGTAAATTCGATTTGCCACCAAACTGTCGCTTTAAGCTCTGATTACTTTGTTGCTCCTCCATTTCTTTCCTCAGGAGTCCTTTAACAATGTGAAGCAGTGGCTGCAGGAGATAGACCGCTATGCCAGCGAGAACGTCAACAAGCTTCTGGTGGGGAACAAGTGTGACCTGACCACCAAGAAAGTGGTGGACTACACGACAGCAAAGGTTAGACGTCTGCTTAATTCAGTTGCCGAGATGTAAACGGAGTCGTTCAGAGTGGTTTGGTGTGAAATGGTTCACTGTAGAGAAACTTAGTGACTCAGATGTCTTTACAGTGATGGTGATGGGAACCAGGGGTCACAGTGTCTACAACACAAATATAGACATTTTATTTACTAGCCAAAACCACCAGTGATCCTACACGAGTCTTCTGAGTTTTATGTGTATTTTTATATGATGGTAAAATAGTGAAACAATCTACATTCCTTGGGTGTAGTATTTGCCTCTCTGTCATGCATGGAGTTTTATAAATGGCCAAAACCTTCTCAGAACAGTTGTAAAACAGGAATAGACATCAGGCAGTGAATTCATAACCATTTCATGTGGTAACTTTCTGTGAAGGAGCTTTTAGAGGTGGACGTCTGGTTCCTATCACCACCACTGTGAACAATTCTCACTCGGTACATTTCTCTAGAACGCAGGATTTCACATTAAACCACTTTGAATGAATTTGTATACATCTAAACCATTTAACCTCCCCAGATATGACAGATCAGTCGAGACATATTTGTGTGTGTTAGCCGCAGGCAGCCATTTAAGACATGTTTGCAATGTTAGCCTCGTAGCACCAGCTCTAAGGCCCAATCCCATTTCACCCCTCGCCCCTACCACTTAAACCTTACCCCTCCGTTTTGTGCATTTACGCCTAGGGGTAGGGTGTCCTGAACTTGTTGAGATAGAGTTGAAGTGTTAGGGCCACATGACCCTCCAAACGGAGGATTTTCAGAGACTCCAAACAGAGTTATGAGAAAAAAAAACATCAAGATGCTGCACAAGCGTCCAAAGAAACCCACAAATGTGAGAATTTTCTCAGCTAAAAATGATGATAACCATCGTATTGTCTTAGTTTAATGTCGTTTAAATGTATTATGGTCCTTTTCTTCATAACAAACATAAAAAAATCCTGCTAGTATGCTAATGTCTCGGTAGCTAGCTAACTAAATTTCTCATTCCACCTTAAATAGTCCAGCAGTTCTGACGCCTGAGGCACCAGAATGTAACTGCTGCATCATTTAAGGTGGAACAGGAGAATTCATACAAGAATCTGTCGAATAGTAGACTTCAGCTTCATATCACTGAAGAATTAGGGGTGGGCGATAATAAATAATTGCCCCCCTCTTTGAAGGCCTATGATGCCCTAAATGTAACTAAAGCCCAGCAGTGAGGAGCTGAACTTTACCCTCCTCTGCTGTCACTGCAGACTGGCAGGGTCGCCTACAGAGCAGCGCTGGTAGCTGTTAATGAAGTGATGCTCTTCTTTATTTGAGGGTCTCATTTCATAGAGAAGATATCAACCACTACCCCAAGTAACTCACTTCTAAGGGGCAAGACGACACTCGAAAACAAGGCGTGGGGTAAAAATAAGAAATGGGATTGGGCCTAAATTAAAGAATTTGGACACCAAACATGTCTTGGCTGACCCAACTACATTATTGTTATTGTTGTCGCCAATATTATTTATCTCTATACAAATACATTTTTCTCTCTGTCTTTCAGGAGTTTGCGGACTCTCTAGGAATTCCGTTCCTGGAGGCCAGTGCGAAAAACGCCACTAACGTGGAGCAGGCCTTCATGACCATGGCGGCAGAGATTAAAAAGAGGATGGGGACAGGGGCCAACGCCGGCGGCTCTGAGAAATCCAACGTCAAAATCCAGAGCACGCCTGTGAAAACCTCCACCGGGGGTTGCTGCTGAGGCCTTACGACTGTACCCAAACAAACAAACAAACAAACAAACAAACGGCCGAGAAAATCAGTGATGTTCCCTACTACCATATGCCTAAGAAGGACAGAGGAAGGTAAAGAGGAGTGTGTGTGTGTGTGTGTGTGTGTGTGTGTGTGTGTGTGTGTGTGTGTGTGTGTGTATGTATCTGACGGAGAGGGTGACAGCGAGAGGTTTGAAGGGTTATAAACTAAACATTGCCTGATGTATCATGCATGCACAAAGCTGCATGGCCAGACTAAACGTTTCCAACAGTCTTGAGCTTCAAATTCAGTAAATGGACAGTTACGCCACCCATGTTAAACAGGTCTATGAGTTCCTCCAGATTGTGAGAAGCTACTGAGGAGCCCGACTGACGTAGACCCTTCGAAACAAGCGGAGAACCCACCTACGCTGCTACAGCTGGGCATGGAGAGCAGAATGCGAATGTCAGAATGTCATAATAGGGCCATTCTGTCTCGTTGCTACGACGACTTCTCTTTGTTTTCTCTCCTTGCGGCTGCTGTCGTGTCTCATTCACAAGGTTGGATTCCTGGTTTTGGTTGTTCTTGGTTTTGTTTATGTGTGTGTGTGTGTGTTTTATTTTAGGGGGGCAGTTCTCATGGTTGGTGTATGGGAGGCCTCTGGATTGTGTAGAAGTGTTTCCCAGCCCCATTCCTGGACCCCAAACTGCAGACTAGTGTCATTTCGTTACCCAAAGACCTTGACGATTAACTTGTGAGACCATGGATAACAGAAGGTGTCTCGTAAATTAATATTCCTCCGTTAGCCAGCACTTTTTAAACCTCATCTCCATCTGCCACATCTGTAGCATATGGTCAGTTACCACACACAGTAATTTCAGTGCAAAAAAGTAAACGAAACAAAATGGATTTAATCAAATTTCACTAGTAACAGACGCCACTAGCGACAAATTATACTGATTTGCAGCTAAATTTATAAAGACATTTGACTCAAGGGATCTTCAGAAATGTGTGTTTTGCATAAACATTTATTCAGATCATCCAGCAGCTGCCCACATGAGCATGTTTTGAGTCTGTACTTTTTTTTTTTAAGTACAGGGTAATGCATTGAAATAATTGTCCATAGTAACTGACCATACACTACAGATCCTGCAGACTGAAATTAGGTTACTAAAATAAGAGCCATAGTACTTCTGTAAGCTAAAAGTGAGGACTGTCCAATAGAAATGTCCCTCAGCTCTTCTCTCATTAGACAGACTTGAGTTTTGGCTTATCTGGCTAACTGAGGTCCTGCTTTGCAAAATGCACTCCAAAACTGGAGCTGGGAAACATCTTCAACACACTCCACTTGACCACTCTGACTGATCCACACTGTAGTCCAGCTCTCTGCACACCTGCTCTAAATGTGATTTACCTGATTAAAAGGGAAACACCAGCCTTTTCAGCCTAATCTGTCTGCTGCTTCTGTATGGTAGGGGTTATTACCACAGACAATAATCTGAACGTGTTTTCCAGTATTTAGGAAAGAACTGAAAACATGTCAACACATAACATACATATAATAAAAGTCAATGGGCAGTTGTTTTAGCAGGGCAGATAGAAGTTAGGTTGAAAAACACTGGGTCCTTTTAGGTGCGTTAGGGGCCAGAATTGGGCAGTAAATGTGGATTAGCTGTAGGGACCTTATGGTTGGGTTGGAAATGTCCAACATCTATCGTCCACTGTACAGCAGTAATGCCTCCAACGAAACCTTTATCCATTCAGCCATTTCTCTGTAAACAACACTCCTTAAAACTCCAAGCTTGTACGTCTGAAGTCCTTCATATGCATCCGCCTTTTCTTGGTGAGTTTAATGATGTGAGCACAAAGCCATAATGTGGATTTCGCTCACTGATGGTGGTGAATTAGTGTCTTCGTGGACCTGCCTTACATACTGTACTTCATACATTGTGGTGCAGATCTCATCTTCCCAAATGAAGTTTGTCTGTATTGTTCAATAAAACCTTTTAAGGTACGCTTAAATTTTCCTTAGTGTGCCTTTAATGTACAACTTCAGTGAACATATTCCTTGTTTTTTTTTGTTTTGTTTTGGTGAACATATACAGTTTTGCTTTAGCTGCTGTCCACAAGTGTCAACAGCATATAGTCATTTCACGGAAGCAGCGATACAGGTGTAGATACAGCAGCTGAACTGCGTGTAGATGAGGTGATCTATACATAAATGAAAGAAAGAACTCTTGATCTGAGAGGAAACTGTCTGAAAGAATGACATGATGATGGGTAGGTAAACTGAAATAAACTCACTCCAATATTTCATTTTGAGAGAGAACCCTGTCGGTTCCTCTTCTTTTTTGGCCTTTTTTGGATAGTGTTCTCGCTTACATATACTATAATGGAAATGTTTAATAAAAATGGTTTTAACTGGACGTTTGTCATGTGTTTGGTGCATGTGGGGAGTTGTTTCCAGCCCTGGAGGGACACAGCGTGTGGCTTGTTATAATAAGATACACACCGATCAGGCATAACATTATGACCACCTCCTTGTTTCTACACTCATTGTCCATTTTATCAGCTCCACTTACTATATAGGTGCACTTTGTAGTTCTACAGTTACAGACTGTAGTCCATCTGTTTCTCTGCATACTTTGTTAGCCCCCTTTTACCCTGTTCTTCAGTGGTCAGGACCCCCATGGACCCTCACAGAGCAGGCACTATTTGGGTGGTGGATCATTCTCAGCACTACAGTGACACTGACGTGGTGGTGGCATGTTAGTGTGTGTTGCACTGGTCTGAGTGGATCAGATACAGCAGAATATATGGCACTTTAAATAAAGTAGCAAATAAATATAAATTGTGCAATAAAATTTGCAGGAAATGCCATATTTATGCTTGGTGTGTCAACTTATTTTCAGGAATTAATAAAAATCTTTGCATATGGAGATTATTACTATATACATGCAACCTTAAAAGTGAGGAACCATCCAATGAAAGATTATCTAAGGAATGTAGATAGATAGATAGATAGATAGATAGATAGATAGATAGATAGATAGATCACTTCATTAAGTTGTCTGTTACAGTAGCACAAAGTACAGTAAAGAACAAAACGAGCAAAAATATTGTTGTGCATGAATCGAAGTAAAGATATAAAATATACTAAAACAACCATAAAATATAATGTGCAGTACGAGACTAAGTAAGTAAAATTGCATAAATATTAAACAGGTGACCATGCAGTGGTGCATGTCACGTCCAGTGGATGAACTAAACACTAAACGATAACGTTATTAGTTGTGCAATATGAAATATATATGGATGTAAACTGTTATTCTGTAGCATCAGCCCAAAGCAAGTTTTAGAAACTATTTTTTTTCTTTATTTTATAAGGTGGGGACCGGGTGGGGTTGTAACATGGGTTAAGCTGTTACACGCCCAGTTTCATTATAAGTAAGCTACAGGGCTGGGAGTGGGGCAGGTCGTAACAGTGGAGCTCTATATACAGTCTTGCCCGTTTTGAGTCATTCTCAAGTTTGACCACTAGAGGGTGCAAACATCATTGCCATCATTGGGTCATCACAGATTCTACAGTATGAGCGTCCATCTCCTCATTCAGAGAATAAAAGGTTTAGCTGGTTAAGTGGAGGATTCTGGGAGCTCATTTATACTTGTGCAGGTCTGTCAATCTCTGACCCCAATCTAGAGCCAAATGCTGACAGAGAACAACCTGATGTGCAAGCTGGATTCAGGAAAGGCAGAGAAACAACAGAAATCACTGCTAATGTACAGTGGATATTTAAAAAAGCTGAGAAATTCAAGAAGGACGTACTACTGCAAAGCTATCAGCTGCGTCGATCATGTAAACCTAAGGAAAGTGTTCAGGAAAGTGAGTATACATCTCATAGTTCTAATGAGGGACGTCTACGCTGATAAACAAGCCACAGGCGTGACAGATGACAGGATAAACAGACTGGGTCCACACTGGCAAGGATGTCCACTATCACCACAGTTGTCTAACCTGTATGCTGAATATATAATAAGAGAAGCTGGAGGACTGGAGGAAGATGCCCAGGAGTTCAGGGTTGGTGGAGAAATCCTTCCACGGCAAAGAAAACAAACAAATGTATCCTTCACCAAATCCGGCCTCACCTCTCAGCCCAGATAACTCTGTTTAAGCTATAATTTTGGCCATACCATCAGAATAAACAACTGAAAATGACCATTATTAAGGTAAAGAGAGGAAGAGGATGATGAGCAACAAAATGGATGGAGATCAGAGAAATCACGACCCCATAGGAACCCCAAAGAACCAAACTGAAGATGGGACATTCTGGAGAGACACCATCCACGTGATCTCCAGGAGTTGGAGCCAACGTCACGGCACCTAATAACAATTTGTTAATGGCTGTAATGCATAAATATGCAGAGAACCAGCCGTTCTAAAGTGTGCAGTGAGGCATAAAACATCTGAACAAATCTGCAGCACATATACAGTCGTGTGCAAAAGTTTAGGCGCCCCTGGTCAAATGACATTTTGTTGATTTTCTAGGTGAAAATAAGTGAACACGTCCCCCACAGTAGAGAATTGCGCTTAATTTACTGAATATAACATACTGAGGGGGAAAAAATGTATAAATGTAGCCTGTGCAAAAGTAATGGCACATCTTATGTTCATGTTTTGTTTCTTTTTTCCAATACGTTAAACAATGTATTAGAGATTGTGGACTAAAATTAGCTGAAAAATGCCATGTTTCAGGTTGTTCCCTGTAAAAGATGTGTTAACTTAGCTTCAACGTAGAGAATCAACAAAACATTTGACCGGGGGCGCCAAAACTTTTGCACACGGCCGTGAGTGTCAGCATTCAAATGTCGCGAATTGTTCATCTCGGTTCTCTCAGGCCAGCATGCTAACATTCACACAAAGAGGCAGGTGTTTAGTGAGGGGTCTGCGGAGAGGTCAGGGTCAACAACAATGCAGGAGTGTGGATGGGCGTCTGCACACTTGCCTACGCGTGGCTTTATTTGTTCTCGGTTGCCGAGTAACAAAAGAACAGGGGTCATCCGTGACAGCTGTTTGGGGGGGAGTCTGGAAAGTGGGGTCTGCCACACTGTGGGGGGGGCAAAAGTGAAGACCGACGGAGGAGTGGGGATGAAGAGATATGGAGGGGATTGGCAGGGGGGGATGGTAGGATGAACAAAAGAGAGTCAGAAAGCCAGAATCGGCCTCAGAGTCAAGGGCAGACTTCTCTCGGACGCTGAACGCCTCATAAAGTTTCTTATAGAGGACCACCGTCTACACACTGAATGGTACTTTGTTATTGTGCAGGAGGAACAGCTGATGCTACAGCTATATAAGGGGGAATTCAGTGTTATTTCCCAGGAAATGTGGGCATCAAAAGGGTCTCTGGCAGCCTTCAAATTAGTATTAAATTCTTAAATTAAATAAAGACTGTTTGCTGGAGTGAAATACCTCCATGTGGTTTACCGTTATTCAGTCAGCGTCTCAGCTGAAGGAGAAGTAGTTCCTATATATTTACTTGCTATACATTTTCTCACATCTTCAGCCTCAACAACACATTTAGTTTCATGCAGAGATTCATTCAGTTTACTGCACTAAAAAACTCTGTATCTGTACTATTCAGTGGTGGACGAAGTACATAAACCATGTACTTGAGTTTAAGTAGAGATGCCCAAGGTAAAATATTACTCCAGTAAAAGTAGAAGTTCCTCCCTTTAGACCTCCACTTGAGTAAATGTACAAAAGTATTTGCCTTCAAATGTGCTTAAGTATCGAAAGTAAAAGTACTAAAAGATTATTTATGACTCTGATGTCCTGTTACCGTTTTTGTAATAAGACTCGCTTCATTAACTCATTTTAGGTGAAAATGCTCCAGTGTCACTCTTGGTAAACCAGTTTTTTATTAAAATGTCATTAATTAGTCACTGATGTCTATTAAAATCAAACTTTTTTGCAAACAAGAAAAGTTTCGGTTTAAGATTTATTCGCAACTTAGTTTAAATAAAAATTAGTTCAAATTCAAACAAGTTTAATAAAAACTTGCTTTAAACTCAGATTCACAAATTAGTTTTCCTTTACTAAACTACATCTGTAGGTCTCTGTTCATAAACATAAACTAGCCAAAGCGAATTTACTATAAAATGAAAGTGTTTGTATAAATTCAGAAAAAAGACCCGTCAGTCACAACTGCATATGTGTACATATTTCTATATTGTGGTCTATTTACACAAAGTTAGATTAGTTCATCATTTATGTTGAATAGACTCTCCCAAACTTTTACGCTGCTGCACTGATGTTGAACCGTGTGCTGCACTGGGTCGGTTTGTCCAACAGGTCAAAACAAGCTCAAAACAAAGTGCGCTGTGCTCTGATTGGTGTTCTTACTTTACGCTTCTTTCGGTTTGACATATTATGTTTTTTTGCCCACATAAACCAAAAGGAACAACAGATTTCTCATAATGTAGCGGAGTAAATGTAAGATATTTGACTTTGAAATGTAGTGGAGTGAAAGTAAAAAGTCACCCAAAATGGAAATACTTCAGTAAAGTACAGATACACAAAAAAACTACTTAAGTACAGTAACGAATTACATTTACTTAGTTACTGTTACTGGTACTATTGCTCAAAAAGAAACATCAGGATTTTAAATACTTCATCATGTACAACCTCCACCTTGTCTTTAACTAGGTAGCAAAAGTCATTATCTAATACTGTCTTATATGAGCTTTTAAGTTATTAATATGATCTAACACTGCATTTTGAATATCTGTAGTGATTTGCCAGTCTTTTTTTTAGAAATAACTGTTGCTATTAATGCTAATGTGGGCTAATATATAATGCAGGCAAAGGGCTTTTATCTATCAGGCAAAGAGGCTTTTAATTATTAATTAATACTGTCTTTAAAAGCTTTTATTCACTTGATTTTATCTAACATCGCGTTTTGAATGTTTGTAGTGATCTAACGTGAATATTAGCCAGGAATTCTCAGAAATAACTGTAGCTAATAATGCTAATGTAGGCTAACATATAATGAGGCTTTTATCTATAAGGCAAAGGGCTTTTTAATCATTAACTGATATTTTCTTTAAAAGCTTATAATCTCTTGTTTTATCTAACATCACATTTTGAATGTTTGCAGTGATCTGGCACAATGCCAGCCATTTTCAGGCACTGCTAATAATGCTAATGTAAGCTAATATGTAATGATATATAGAGCTTATAACAATAACAAATATTATATGACACAGGAGAAAAAGTGAAGGAGTTAAATAAAACTACTACTGTTCTCTGTAGAGGATGTGTAACTTATTTTCACTGAATATCAACAAAACATGTCTTTTGACCAGAGGCACAACTATATATGTAATAAAGATAAAATATAAATATACAAGTAAACATGTTATATAATGT